CACCACTGCTACACCACCCGAAGGGCTTGAGGAATGGCGGTCCTTTCTAAAAACTTGATGATGACGCAAAACCTGCGTGTGCGAGTCAGTTAGGTAAGTCTCCTGTAGGCAAATAGCAACAGGGCGGAGCTCATCAAAAAATGAATTGATGTCATCTATGTTACGTAGAAGGCCGCGACAGTTCCACTGTATAATACCTATATGCTTAGCCAGTGCGAAGTTAATATAAAAACCGGTAAAAAGTTAAATGAGATGACTATGGGATAAAATCTATCTTTTTGCGCGGTGCATTTTTCTTCTTTACAGCCTCTTTCTGCTGGCCAGTGGAGTCCCTGGTGGCAGAAAGAGAGGAGTCAGATCCCGCGAAGAGACTTTCCGCGCTGAACTTGGGTCCACCCTCGTCCATAGGCTCCTCAGGGGGAGCCGGGGGGAGACCCGCTGGGGTCGGCAGCCTTAATGGCTCACTAGCTCTCTGCTGGCTCAAGACACGGGGTTGCCCCCGGCCTTTCGGAGGCAGGGAGGTAGGGGCGGCGGGTAATGCCGTCCCCCGCTTCAGGGTGGACGTTGAAGGAACAGCGTCCACCGTGTGGTTGGGGTGCAGTGCAGCTGGCACCGCTCCCGTGGGTTTTAGATGGGACACTGGCGGGAGACACACTCCTTCTGGAAGAGTCTGTGTTCCCGCCGACGCCATCATAGGCCGTGCGGGTCCCCTGCGCACGACCTCGGCATACCCTCCTTTCGATAGCAAGGAGAAACGTCTTTTCGCCTCATGGTAGGAGATGTTTTCTGTGGTTGTCAAAGTAAGTATTTCTTTTTCTTCTTTCCATTTTGGACAAGAGCGCGAGTATGCTGGGTGACGGCCATCACAGTTGACACATTTCGGTTCACTCTCGCAACTGTTAGCAACATGCTCCTTACTGGAGCACTTCGCGCAAGTGTCGCTTCCCCGGCAGCTCCGTGACCCATGGCCGAACCTTTGGCACTTAAAGCATCGCTGAGGGTTCGGCACATAGGGGCGAACACGGCACTGGATGTAGCCTGCCTTTATGGTCTCTGGAAGTGTAGTGGCGTCAAAAGTCAGTATAACATGTCTTGTTTTTCGCTCCACGCCCTCACGACGAAGGGTGATGCGTCGAGCAGCTACTACTCCTTGGTCTGAAAGTCCTTCAACAAGTTCCTCGTCAGATGAGTCCATTAGGTCGTCCTCTGAAATAACTCCTTGCACTGTATTAAGTTTACGGTGTGCAGTAACATTTACTTTATAGTCAGACACAGCATTGAGAGAAAGAAGGGCCTCACTTTGCTTTTTGGTGTTGATCTCAACTAGAAGGTCACCGGACGCCATCTTTTTTGCAGAGTAATCCTTTCCAACGATTCGTTCCAGTACCTTGGCGACCAGGAAAGGGGACAGTTTAGAAAGTGGTTTTTCCTCTTCGGAATGTAAGACAAGAAATTTTGGAAATTTTTCAGGTACAATGGATGTTTCGAGAGTGACTTGAGCTTCGGTGCGACCTCTTTTCAGAGGCCGATCAAGAAAGTTTTTGTTGCGCAGACCCATATGAGATGGGAGGAAAATTCAGTGCCCGGGTGCACCGCCCACCACGGAGCCCAACAAGGGGGTGGGTAATGTGCCATAGCAAGCAGGGCTTGGCTGACACAATTACTCTACCAGTGCTGCCCGGGCACTATACCCTAGTGTGGTTGCAGGGACAGGACCTGTTTCCACTCAAGGTTGGCCCTTGCCGCCTAAGAAGGTGAAAAAGGAAGGAAGAGAGTGTAGAAGAAAAGAGAAAGAGGTGGGAGGAAAAGTGAAAGAAGGAAGAAGAGGGTAGAAGAGGCGACTGACTGAATCATCCTGGTCGGGCCAAGCCAGGACACCCGTCTACGAGAAGCAGAGGTCGAAGCGGTGTATTGCCTCGCCCGGGGGGCCCCGAAGGATCCAAACATACCCCGGGCTCAGCTCAACCACCAGCGTCCCCTTTTCCCCGGACACGGGTTAAGCCACGCACAGCCAGGCGTGAGTGGGTAAACCCACATGGCTCGGGGTTCGCGGTGGCGCCACTCACCAAGCACCTACCAAGGCAGGTGCCCCCTGCGTGCGGGTATGGTGGCCCGCGTGGCTGGGGTCCGTGGTGGCGCTACTCACTAAGCACCTAACACCAAAGGTGTAGGCGCCCCCTGCGGGGAGTGGAAGCGATTGTCTGGGGGAGTGAATCTAAGGTGTCCTACTGCACTTTGGTTTCCTTCACCAAACCTTCGGTATTACGTTCTGGCCTATACGCTCCGTGCGGGAACAATAAGGGGCGCTTTGAAAAACGCGCGTAGTGTTACTAGCGGAGGAGCTGGCGTTCGACAGTGAGGCGCGTTCAGCAGCCTGCGGCGCCTTTTCGCATGCGAAGCTGTGGCGGCGGAAGCACGCACGGACGAAACTTTTGCTTTTTGAGCCGATGCGTTGAGGGTGACGTTGCATGAGTGCTGGGGCAGACCTAAGAAGGGAATCTAGTCTTTCTCCACTTGTTATATATTGAATTTGAGTCGTTATTAGGGGCAATTTCTCTAGTTGCGGCCGAAAAAGGGGTTGGAGCAATTTTCCGAAAAGCAAGACCGCCGCCACCATAATTGCTCTGATTGGGAAATTTGTTTCGCTCGTCGCTGTAAACGGGACTGCTGAAACAATGATATTTGGAGGCCAGTGAGATGCTCACTAAGTTTGTGCACGAACTGTGCCAAGTTTCATTAAGACAGCAGGTGTCAAAGTTATATTTCTAACGAATAAAGAAATAAAGCTGTACGGGATATCCAATATTGGACTTAAAATGTTGTGTTATACCGGGCTGTGCGAAGTGCAGATTTGGTCACACAGCTGCTTGGACTTGACAGTAACATGATACAGCACTTATTATATCAAAAAGAAGTGGCATAGGGAAACCAGGTGGAAATTTGGTTAGGGCGGCGTAACTCAATGGTAATCGGTTTTGACCATGAAAGGGCTGTCAAGAGAATACCACTCGTCGTGGGAGGTGGAGACTTTACATGTAGGAAGGAACCAGTGGACGGTACTTCCAGTTCGAACAACTTTGTGATAGGTGGCTCTAAAGCCGAGAAAAAAAAATTGTTGTCCACAGAACTCGGGGTGTCAGCGTTTCCACATCCAAAAGGAGGCTGATCAAAAAAGAAAGCACACCACATAAACCTCCATACTCAATCGTCGATTCTCCAGTGATTCCGAGTTTCATTGTAGTTTTCCTTAGATTCATATTTGTCACCTTTTTTCTTTTCTTTCTTTTTGCCGTTGGAATTTTTTTATATGAAGTACAGATTGCGTGCCATACTTGTCCGGAAATATCATCGACACGTACGATGGGGATGAAACTTCTTTGGAGGGCATTCCTCCAACGAAATTGGCACTGCATACCCGCGAGTGTGGGATGGCATTTCAATTCGTCCCATCGGCGCTAACACATGTAAGCGTCACTGGTACGAAAACAAACGCAGTGCGCAAAGCGGCAGTTTAGATTATCTCAGCTGTGCCGACACAGTGGCAGGTATGATCTGGAGACCAAATTTCTCGCGTAGTACGTCACGGGTCCATCGTTGTCGCTCTCCTACAAAACATCGGCGAGGTGAAAAACTGTGAATCATTGTCCCAACGAGATACGACGCATAACTATTGAAGCACTTAACGATGCAGCACCGGTGGCACTTCATGCTGTGAACCCAGTGCAACCGCACCGCTCCGACTTCAATGCGTACCAACGCACGTGGCGTGGTTTCGGTTTCGTTTTCTCTGGGGTTCTCACTGCCTACATCCGGTAACGGCCGCGCGGCAGCGCGCCAGTCGCGTCGCACGGAGTGTATAGTCCCTTGCAACTCAACAAGGTAGAGCGAGGGAAAGGAAGGCCGGAGAGGAGGAAGCAGACAGAACGCTGGAGAGGAGAGGGGGAAACCTCCTCCTCTCCCTAGCGTTCCGCCTGCTTTAGCCCCCTCCCATCCCCGGCCTTCCGTTTTCTCGCCCTATACCTTTTTGAGCTGCAACGGACTATAGGTAATCTGTACTATAGTACAGATTATGTACTATAGTAAGTTACAGGTCAAGAAGGTAGCGGCAAATGCCCCTCAAAGGGATTCGTAAATCCCTCCGCCAATCCCGCATCCAATAGCGTCCCGTCGTTTCCGTGACGTCGTGGCCAACGCGGGAGAGGGTGTTGCCTTCTTGTGAATATTTACTTTTTATCTTTCGATCATAAGGTGGAGAACTGGGCCAGTTGGTTGACGTTATACATGATGGGGAAACAGCTCAGAAAACACGGACTACAAAGAGGAATAAACACGACAGAACAATGCTGTACTACAATCTTTCGACTTTGACTTAGTGTTGTGGAAGCCACGAGAGGGAGATTAGAATTTTCCTCCTCCGATGGAAACAAAACCAATTTGGGGGGTTAGTTTCCCATTCTGATGGTTACAAAGGCCACTTTCATGGGCTCGGTTCCCTCTCCGATGAATACAAAGGTCGCTTTCTTAAAACGTGGGCGTCGGAGACAAGTTGGCATCGCTCTGTAGCCCTTATCTATTCACTGAAGCGGAACAAGGGACATTTCCAGGGAACTATTCTTTCGACTGCGGATGGACTTGAAACGGGCTCATCACGCTTATGGGAGGAGCTTCTCCTGCCTTCTTGACTTGTAACCGACTATAATGAACGTACCTCCCCTATAGTGCCGCTGCCGTCAAGAATGCCGATCCCGTCACCACATTTCATTACAGCTTCATAAACAACAACCGGGTGGTTTTTGGTTATCGTTTAATTCAGTTAAAAATATTTTTTCTTGCGTTTTCCAACTAAATATTGATGGTTCCTAGGTACTACCGCTATTTGTACTACCGCTACTTACGACATGCTGCAGCAAAGAAATTAACTTCCCCTTTAAAGAAGGCGGGGCGAGTTCCTCTTATCATTCCGCAGCTAATAATATTCCAGCATTAGCAACAAGGCAATGATGCCGAGGGTGGACGTCACGCGACACGCAAAAGGATCATTCTATTCTGTACAACGATCTCTGCATAGTCACCAATTTCCCGTCTTTCTGTCGCAGTACATCGAAGTTCAGGCGCCTCCCGGGGAGACGATAGCCTACATCTACCAGGACTGGTCCGTCTTTCTCCCGTCGTACACCATCTACGACCGACGCTGCAACCCGATCCTCGCCGTTCAGGGGCCGTTCTGCACCCAGAGCTGCATCTACTGCTGGGACGTGCAGTTTGAGGTGACCGCTCACAGATTTCTCAAAGTGATCGCCACTTTAACGGCGCGCATTACATCACCTTACCCCTGTTTCGCTTTTCTTTCTTTTTTTTTTTAATAGAGTAACTGTACATGTTTTGCTTGCGAGGCAGAGTAGTGCAAGGGTCTCAAGTTTTGTACGTCTAGTATTGCTGGAGAAGAAGCGACTGCCATCCTTGGAGGGCACGCGGAGGGCTTGACATGAGGCGGCGGAGGTACACCGAGGCCGTCGGTTGTCGTTTTATCTGCTTGTACACAGCTGCTTTAAACGGAGCTTTCGTTATCAAAAAATAAAGAAAGAAACGCAGTTACAGATGCCTAAGTGGCACGTACAATGTACGAAGGTTCAAGAAACTTCTTGCTCGTGAGACTTCAGTGAAAACCCTACAACGTTGCCTCCTAAGAAAAAGAAAAGAAAGTAGTGTTTATTTTATTGCAAGCATAAACTATACTTCACCGAATGCTCATTCTCCGCCTGAATGTAGCGATAGAGATCCCAACCAGACGCCCAAGTTTGAGAACGAACCGTTAACTCAGTGAAACATTACGAGTTATTTGCAGAAAAGGGGCCCGTTTTTGCCCGTTTTCGATAACATGGCGCGATTCGAATTCCTGTATTCGAAAAGTCCGTCAGCTTCTAGTTTCCCATTGAAAATTTCAGATAATAGCTGACAACTTTTCAGTAACACAACGGTTAGTCTGAAACTTTGGCGTCTCGTTCGGACCGCTAGGGTTCCATTTGGGCAGATAATGGGCGTTCTCCGGTGACTTGCGTTCAAATTTGTACGCAGACTGTCTTTCGTATGACGTGTTGGCGGCGAGATGTTCTGGTGGCGCCATCCTATGGTTCCCTCTTGTGACGTCATTACCTTGCGAACAACAAGTTCAGTAATGTTGGTAATGAGCGTGGTGGAAGCTTGAAAGCATTGCCCTTTTAAATCGACACTACCAACACCGTCAAAACGGTTCTTACATACTCTTATTTCCGCTGATGAGAAATTCTTTCCTGACGTCATTGCCAGCACTGGGCCAATCATGGAAGGCCGATCATTGCGACGCTTTCGACCGTTCACGTCGCCAATAGGCAGAGTGACCCTCGGCTTTAGGGAACGCTTTTCTCGAGCGACTGTTCGGTTTGCAGTTGATTGCCGCGCGTGCACCCGTGTACGGTGGGCATTAACAGGGAATAAACTGCTTTCCTCTTTCCGCTAAGCTATCCGCAGCGAAGAGATTGCTACTGCGCCTGCGTGCCGCTGGCCTTGACTGAAGAAATCCGGATCCCCCAGCGGGTTGTTGCGGAGAGCGTTGCCGGACGGCGGAAACGATCTCTTTACAATGAGCTCTGGTTGGACGAAAGGCCGGCCGGAGGGCTGAAACCCCACATGGGGCGGCGCCCCTGATGTGATAACCTTAAATTCCCTAAATAAGAGCTTCCTACAAGTAGCGACATTCTTTGAAGCGCCGACTGGGCGACGGTGCCGGTTTTAGGAAGCGAATGGCAGCGCACAGCAGAGGTTTGAACCGAATTCCGCCATTTTGTTTGAACGGAATGTGTTTTGTCATTGGTATTGGTTGTCGTTACCTGTAAAAAGAAGTATCAAGAGACTTTAGATAAGCTGTCTGGAGTCAGGATGGAACGGACTTTTGCGGCTTTATGCTAGGAGGAAGGGGGCGTGTTTCTGCCGGTATGCCGTGCATCGGTCAGGAACTTCCTACTCCGCCTTGAGTGTATGTAGATAGTGGCTTCAAAGAGTCATATTGAAATGCCGCACGCTTTGTATTATTTCTTTTAGGGTCAGTTGCCCATGACTCGCTGAGTGCATGTCCTTAGATAACCTGATAGCACTTCACCGTCAAATATTTTATGCTTTTGTTTTAAAATTTTGTATTAAGTTTATTACTGTTGCTTATCGGTGGTAACATCCCCCTTCAACCCTCGCATAGAATCGCGGCAGTTCATTCCAGCCTCGCTCCCAACAGCTCATCGCATCATGGGCGCCACGTGCAAGATTTCCACTGCTCCGGCCGGCGTTCCGTCGAGCCAGCTCATGCTGAGGCTTAGTGTACGATCTTCAGCGCCGTCAAACGCCCAGCGCGCCTATTGTTCTCCTCCGAAATTCCACAGAAATATGACTTTCAGCTGCGTCTATGTGCCTTTGGCTAGCGCATGGTGGAGCCTGCAAGTTTGAGCGCGCTCTTCGGAGACGTAGACACGGCTCACTAATCTTTTACACTGTCTTCGTCCCAAGGTGCGGACGCTGGCTGGCGTAATCATCGGCATGATCACGAAGAAGTGGGGCGGCTTCTCCCGGGAACTCTTCACGGATGCAGACATCTTTAGCGTATCCTTTCCACTCGACCTGGACGTTCACTACAAGGCCGCTCTTCTGGCGTGCACCATGCTAATAGTACGCAAACACAGTTCTTTGCTTTTCGACTTGATAGCTCAAACCACTATGCTCGTACTAATGCGAAAGTATTAACTCTCCCATGGAGCGAAGCCGGCTTTGTCTGTAGCAACGAAAACGGCACCCGAATTCCCATTAGCTGCGACGCGTCATGAGGCCCCATAGCAACGGCATCATCGTTGCTAAGGAGCCAGCCGAACTGCTGGCGGCGCTGCGGGAAGGGGGGGGGGGGGGGGGAGGGGGACGCGTGTATGTGATGGCCTGACGTTAGGCATAACGTTAGGCCAACTGTTACGCTTTGAGTTTCAACGTCGTCAACCGGTACGCGCAGCCATTTGACGTGAGGGCATGACGCGGGTATGCGCTGGCCTGACTTTAGGCCTAACGTTCCGGTTTGAGGTCTAATGTCGGCAACCGGTACCCGCAGATACGGCGATGATGATGATGATGAGATGACACGTGATTTCAGCACGCGCCGCGCCGAGCATCGCACTCTTGACGCCGTGCCGAGCTTCGCACCCCCGCCGCTGCCTCACTCAGCGGCGGAGCAGTCACCAGCGAGCCAGGGTGGTCTGCGCGGCGCACCGCCGCACACCTTGCTGGCGCTGCGGCCGCTTCTGGCGGAGTTCAATTGGACATTAATGCTTTCGCATTCACAAGTCATAACAAATGCTTACGTGTGCTGGAATTTTTTCTCCAAACAAACCGGCGCGCTCTTAGCGGCGTCGCACATGCGCTATGGGGTATGGGCGAAAAGACCGCCGTACCCTTAATAAAAAAATAGCATGCGACGTTGTCCTGTTGATTTTTCATCTTCCTGGCAATTAATCATTATTTTATTTACTTGGTTACTTTAGAAAAGGACAAAGCTCGTTACGTTGCAAAAAGCGGAGTGAAAAAAAAAAGGTGACGAAGCGCGATTCATTCCGCATGGATGATGGACGCAGCAGAATGAACGCTAAAGCCTGATTCGCGCGATGACATTCTGCTTGCTAATTTCAGTTGCGACGCCGCTCAAGCTGAAAAGAGGCGTATATAGGGAGAACAAGGGTTTTAAAGCAAGTCTCTGGCGCATCAGAACGCACGGAGACTGACGCTAGTCAAAGGGCAGTGTTAAAGGAATACTTCAACGAGATTTGAAATATATCTTTCCTGTTCAAAAATAGGTCGAATATGATCCACAATATCCGTAAATGACAATCGCACGTTTGTATTTTGAGCCTGGTGGTTCTATTTTTAGTTATAAACGGCACATTCTGGCAAGCGCTCGGAGAAGGCCCAGCTTAGAGCACGTGACATCCGACGCAATCGTGACGTAGGTCGTCTCGGGACGAGCAAAGCTACCGCGAGGCTGACGTTGAGAGGATGGCCTAATCGTTCCAGCCACCGAAGCGGCTGCTTTTGTAAGAATCTGGAGTGACGAATTAATCTTCTATAATCTTGTAGAGGGACAATAGCGACGTCTGGGACGCACAAAAGGAATTCTCGGGAAGAAGGGACTTCCTCCTTCCCTTCTTCTCTCGTCGTGGCCGGAGGCGACACAACAACCGTCACTAAGGCTCCTAGGTGGGCATTACAAACGAGGCGTTAGCGCAATCTACCAGGTGCTCTTTGCTAATCGTTTAATTCGTTTTAAAATTCCTTTGGTGGTTGAGCTGTCCCTTGCGTTGAGACGTCGTCGAAACCGCAGAAGACAACGCCGCGGTGACGTCTACCGAAATTGTAAGCATTCCCTTGTGGATGTTTACAACTTTGGCCGCACGGTGGCGACACGGTTCGATCCCCTGGCGAATAAACCAACACACTGCTTGCCAACGAGTTCGCGTTTGCCTACATCAAGTGTGGGCGAGGCGCATGCGTAGAAAGAACATTGGCACGAGCTGAGTCGTCTGTACATGCGCAGCGCCCGATGCAACGCCACGGCAGTGTTGGAAGTGGTGGGCTACAGGTTTCGACGTTACTGGCAGCACGTTACTTTGTTCGCTAACGTACTAACGTACTTCTGAGAATACGAAGCGTCTAACGAGTGAAGTATTTTTTGCTACCACTTTACGATATAGTCAATGAAATTACGTTACCTCTTGCTTTGGACTAAAATGTTTCACGTTTTTGTTCTCTTTAAGGTGTCAACGCACCATTGAGACCACGCGGCATTCTATAAATCTGACCAACGAAGGATAAAAATACTTTCGAATTTCTCTTTGAAAGTTTAATTGCTGTCGAAGTTCGTAACTGTGGCTTCTCGCTGCAAAACCTTGAAATCCAAAGTAACGCAAAAGCAACGTTCCTTAGTTATACTTATAAAATAGCGCAAGAGAAACACGAAGTAAACAAGGGAACAAGACAACCCACTGGCCTTCATCGAAAGGGCAAGCGCGGCCTTTAAACAATGTTTGCTCAGAAAAAAACAAAGCATATATACATACGCAAAGCGGCAACACGTACAACTAAGCAGTCGGTATCCGTTCATGCAAAAAGTGAAAGCCGTTTACAACTCCCTGTAACGCCGAATTGGAGCGCAGCTCTTGAGGAGGAGGAGGGAAGGGTAGTGAGGGGAGGGTAGACCCTTCCTCCTCCTCCTCCTTCTCCTCCCCGAGGTCACGTGACCTCGGGGGGGGGGGGTCACGTGACCTCGGGGAGGGGGCACGTGACCTCGGGGGGTCACGTGGGGGTCGCCTTGGCGGTCACGTGACCTTGATCTGACCTTGGAAGGGGTCACGTGACCTTGGGGGGTCACGTGACCTTAGGGGGTCACGTGGAGTCGCTTGGGGGTCACGGGACCTTGAGGTGACCTTGGGGGTCCCGTGACCTCGGGGTCTCGTGACCTTGGGGTGACCTTGGGAGGGGTTACGTGACCTGGGGGTCACGTGACCTTGGAATGACCTTGGTTACGCCGACGGCGACGGCGGCGCCACTCAAGCCGGAAACGGGCGCCTAAGAGTTAAAACTGAAATTATTCTCCATGAAGCACAATTGACGTGTTACTGACGCATGCCGTCCCACTTCTTGTCTGGATCAAAAACCAGTCCAGATGTTCACAGGCAACAGACTCACAGCTTCTCCCCAGAATCCTTATCTGCTGAAATCCCGGAACACAGCCACGAGTGTTGCAATGTCTGACTTTTCCGAAGCAACGGCAATGGTACTTCGTTACCTTTGCAGGACGGTAACCAATCTCAGTAACGCATTCATTTTGACGAACTCACGTGAAACGATGGTGTGTACGCATGTTTTTTTTTCGTATGAGCGTGCTCAGCGTGGGTTTGACGGTGGCTACCTCCTCTGTTTCAGGATTACATGTTCTTCGAGAGCTCGTTCGTCGGCCGAGGGGACATACTCCCAGGAATGCTGTAATCCAAGCTGGTGCACTCGGGACGCGGGATCGGGGCGCAGTGTGCAATACATGACAGTGATCGTCCGAAGGCGTCCCCGTCTCCTTTCGCGCCTGTGATTAGTTAGAAACGACCCTGCATTATATCATGGGCGCAATTTGTGTAAAATGTCCGCCGACGAATTTCAAATTCCGCAAGTGAATCTTCTGCGCCAGTATTTCTTGACATACGATCGAGCGTTTATTGAAATGCGCGATACTTTTCGCTGAACTAAAGATTACGTCGCAGAATATAATATAACAATTACCACGAGGCAAAAGCGGAACACCCGATTAATATTTCGATTGCTGAAGAATGATATAGTTCAGTGCCACGAAACATTGAAGACAGCATTTTATAGAAATGCAGTCATATGTGCATGTATGGATGATTATTTGTGAACCTAAAAATTGAATTATAATTTGATAAATATTATGGAATGCTACCTCAAAGGTCCGTCTACTTTACCAAAATAAAAAAAAGCGAATGAACAACAGTTAGGGAGATGAACTTTAAGGTGATTCACCCACTCGTCACTCAATGGGCAAATTTCGCTAGACAAACGTGAGTATCAGGAATGCGCAAGAGTATTGACTCTTCTGTATGTTCGTTATGAAGACGTAATAAAGGTCGCACAGCCCTTAGATTTTCTCCTCAACGCGTTTTTTTTTTTTAGTTTTTACAAGTAAAACTCTGAAATATTACCGTTTTGACTGTTTTGAGCGCATTTTGTGGCAGTTTTTATATTGAAATGACTTATAAGATAAAAGGGACAGAACGAATGGTTGTACGTACTACACACTAGCAATCACAAGCCAGCTTGCTGCGTTTAGACGCTTGTACACGCTTCTTCGTCGCTTCAAAAAGCGAGCTAAAGACCCGCCACTTTTTTTTTTTTTTATTCCTAAGCACTCGCCACTTTTGTGAATGCTGAATATCGCACCGGCCAGAAGCTCTTTGTTTACAAAATGCTGGGTTCTGAAGGTCGCACGCTGAGCACAGCTCATCACGTACATGTTCGTCGGTTCCGAACGCGAGAAAAGCGCCGGACGTACAAGCTCTAAAAAGGCACCACGGTCAAAAGATTTTTTCTACCTATGACCTTTATCTCGTGCATGTTCTGATACTACTTATTACAGACTCAACACCATTAGCCAACAGGGTGTTAACAAAATACGTTTCTGTGGTTCAAACATGGCGACTTCTCATGCAGTCTGAAATCAGAGCGAGTATTTACAGCGATAGCTCTCAATGGGATCTTCCCACCCCTGGTAATGATACCCGTTTTTGATGTTTCAGTCACTGATGTTGTAGTTTTGGTTCTTAATGTTGTGGTTGGCGATGTAAGGCGTCTGTCGTGGATGTTGCCGAATCCTAGAAAAAGATAGCCCGCCGGCGGCGAGAACTAAACCCGAGTCCGCTGGGTGTGAAGCGGAGGCGTTACCCGCGAGCAACGTCACAACTTTTTTCTGATTTCTTTATCTTTCATACGTGGTAGTTATAGGCGCAGGAAAATACATTCATCGAAATATTAATTCCATCGTGCACACGTAGACAAACACAAAGATGATATTATTTAGAAACTCACGCGTCGCAGATACACTAGGCGTCGTGCACATGTGTCCTGCTGACGGTGCAGAATATACAAATACAGCTGACAAATAATTGAAGTTGTTAATACTATACATCACTCGCATATAGACAGTATGACTGTTGTTCAGAAACCGGGGAGGCATAAGCATCGGTTAAATTCGAAGAACCATTCTGATTGTATGAATTTGAAAGCATAGACGCGCCTAACTTCCGCCACATGTTCCAAAAACAAAGATTTCGTCGTACGAGGCTTTTCTGCGTGTCGGACAATCATTCAACATCTACATAAGCTGTTAAGTCCTGTCAGCACGAACATATTATACGGAATGGTTTTGTTTCTTGAGAACGGAAGAAAACGCAGGCTGTAATTTGTAAGAATGAGGCCTTTCTGTAGCAGAACTGTTGTAAGTTGGGCGAGTTGGTATGGTGACATGGTGAACAAAACAGCGTACAGAAAGACAAGGACACAGAAAAGGACCGTGCCCAACATACTCACAAGCGCTGTGTGTTGTGCATGTTCCTTTTCTCTGTCCTTGTCTCTTTGTGCTCTGTTCTGTTCACCTTTCGGTAGCGTATGTTGGAGTACATCCCTAAAGAAAAATGCGTCACTGCAATATATAAAACAATGTTCGATTTTCTCTAGCTTGTTACATAGTCGACAATTTAAGGCGCAAAGTACAAACGTTCATTTTTACTGAATGTAAGCCTTGACAGGTAATGTGGAGGTATGTTATTTAAAGAAAAATGTATTTGTTGATGGAAGGGTTCCAATTATCCTAACTCTTTTAGAGACATCACTGACGGGGTCAAGAGTAAAACCAGTGCGATAAACTGGTATATGAAAAATGCTCTCTCTAACACTTGCTGAGAAGTTTTTATTGGTACACTAACCAAATATTGTAATGAAAAGTGTGTTTTAAGAAAGTCGAATGTATGAAGCACCTTCTTCGAAAAGCCTCTAGGTCTACCGTGAAATTTTGACCCATTGGAACAACCAAAAAGTGTAGACTCTCGAGGAGTTGCATTGCAGTGCAGTTTTAGAAAAAAAAACACATGCATCACATTCTTAAAAAAAGTTACAAAAATAAAATAACGACACTAAGACAAATAGGTAACTTAATCCCAATCCTTCAAGTTCAAGTGGGAGGAAAAGGTTATTTCTTCTTAGGGGTTCCTGTGTCGAGCACCATATAAAAGCTGGAAAGATCCTAGGAATTCTGTACGTTCGTTTGAGCGCAATGAAACACAGCAGCACATACATTAGCTTTGAGAATAGGAATATGTTTGCAGAGTCCTGCCCATTTTGAAAATCGATGTCTTTTTGTTTCCACGCATCTGTTTTTCTCTTCAATGCGGTTCCCATTGACAACCAATAATACCCACTACTGAGGATTTGTGATAGTGGCGCACCCATATATGATACTAGGCCGCGATTCCATCCTATGCAAAGGCAGATGGCTTGGTCGCGTACGAACAATATTAAAAGCCACTGCATTTTGAGACGTTTACAGATGCCCCTGTTACCGCGCAGCATCGCTCTGTTAATTTCATTGCTTCGTGAAAACTGTCCTTGTCGGTACAGAAAAACACAACCTCATCCGCGTCCGCGAAAACTTTTGCGTCTACGTTATCCACGGAATATCCCTAAACACTTTCACTTTTAAGTATGCTAAGACAACGCTTCTAAGTATAGTGCGAAAAGTAGCGGGGACAGTGGGCATCCCTGCCTAACCGAGGATTTTGTGTTCATTTTGTTTGACACCAGGTTTTAAATATCCGTTTGGTTGAACTGTGCGCAGAGAAAAGTTGGACTCCTTCTACATGCGTATTCTCTACGCTTACATGCTGTAGGAGAGCGAATAAACATGAATGGCTGACCGGTTGAAAGGTTTAGCAAGATCAATTTCCACAAGTGCTACCTGCTCGTCCATGTGAGACATGCACTCTAGAACAGAACGTGTGACATGGATATTTGTTTGGATAGCTCTGCCCCGTATACCGCATTTTGTATGTCCTCTTATTAGGCTTTCAATTATGAACGGTAATCTTTGGCGTAAATATGTATAATCCACGTTACAGAGGAATAGCGGTCTGCGATTTTCTATGTTTTAAGCATTTTCGCGTCTTTTTCTTTCGGCACTAGAGAAATACGTCCAGAATAAAAGGAGGGTGGGAGATGTTTTTGAGTTTGGGCCTCCTGAAAAATGTCCGGCAGTACTGGGTATATTTGATATCTGAACTGTTTATAAAATTCTCCACTAAGTCCGTAAGGCTCAGGTGCTTTGCTATTTGGCAGCGAGTCAACAGGAGGTGTTACTTATTTAGAGTTATGCACTCTAAAAAATATTTGTGCGTCTACTTTCACCCACAACACTCGGAGAGCCAATCACCGCAACTTACGGAGGCAGCTCAGCGAATGACAATGCCGAAACATATGTTTAGACCAAAACACGCAGTCTGAGTTGTGACATTAAGCAAAGCAAAACGTCACGCTTGCATTACTTAATGTCACAACTCGGACTGCGTGTTTTGGTCTAAACATATGTTTCGGCATAGTCATTCACTGAGCTGCCTCCGTAAGTTGCGGTGATTGGCTCTCTGAATGTTGTGCGGGAAAGCAGACTCACGGGCTTTTCTTAGAGTGTGGGGCCTTCAATCAACGTTCTGTTTTACTCGCTAAGCTTAGCCATCAATGCTAACAGTTGATCTGTTTCACGTAAGACTCATTACTTACAGGTATTAATTTTCCTATCATATCTGCATAACACTTCTGAAATGAATTCATAAATGTGTTGGCTCGATCAGTGTAGAGCGTCCTTAGTTTATCTCTCCCATTTCTTTTGCTAATGCATAAGGTCGCTCACATGCATCTAGGACCCTCCGTGTAGGCTTTTCGCCAGGTTGTTGTTGTTGTTTGCGGTTTTTATGGCGCAAGAGCATCAATGGCCATACTGCGCCAAACAAGGTAAGTCAATAAAAAGGGGTGAATAGAATTAAACTATGGGGGAATAGTTCTATAGTTTGTTTAAAAAACCGGTATTTTCAAGGAATTTAAAAATACGTTTGAATGAGATCAGTGGCCGCTCGCCAAGTAGCAAGGCAGGGTGAAATGGAATGTGATACTTGAAAAGATCAGGAAAAAAGAGTTTGTGCTGCTGCCGAAGACCAGGACAAAGAAATGAAATATAAAGAACAGTCAAAGGTTCACCGCAGCGATCACAGGATGGAGGTTCTTCACCAGTAAGCAGGTAGCTATGAGTGAGGTAGGTGTGGCCATTTCTCAGGCGGCATAAGAGGACCTCGTGGAATCTATTTTTATTGTAAGATGTTTCCCAGGTACCAAGGTCTGGCTTGGTGGTGTGAAGCTAATTATTAACCTCTACATCCCACTCGGACTGCCATGATTGCAAGACTGCAAGTCTTGTACGCATTTTTAAGTCTTGGTGGGGGATGGGGACATGTGACACGGGAAGATTTTGCGAAGAGACGGTCAGTTTATCTGCAGCCTCGTTGCCTGCAATGCCCACATGGCTAGGAATCCAGCAAAAC